TTTGTAGCTGAATACGAGCCGGGTCTGAAAGTAAATCACATGTGGACCCGGACCCGGACCCGGGTGATATCATATTTCTAGACCCGGACCCAGACCCGGACCCGGGTGACATTAGTTTTCTGGACCCGGACCCGGGCCCGACCGGGTCTAGACCCGGGTCCGGGTCCGGGTCTGGACAGACCCGCTCCTCTCTAGAGGCAATTGAAAAAAAACATTTCTTATCACTGATTTTCTATGAAGTTGCAAGTTTCCGTTCCAGTCAAAGATGTTCTGAAATGTTTTTAACTTTCAATAAGTACTTGAAACAAATATCTTTGCAATAGAGACTTTTCGTTTTCTAATAAGGAAATTATCAAGTCTCCACAACGAGTTGTTTGTCAAGCTATACTGAAAACGAAATTAACACAGAGTTTTTTTGCACCATTTGTTACGTTTTGAAACGCAATCCACCATTTTCCTAATTATACTATTAAGATGCATTTTGATGCTTGCTTTTGCTTTGAACACATCTACTGCTTCCACTACTGCGGATTATTTCACTGATACTAATACGAATATGACCACAATGGCGAGTTCTACTATTTGCATTTCATTAAGAAATTATACCAAAATTCTTCAAGAAATTATTTGGACAGTTGTGGCTAAATGTTGTTGTATTCTTAATATTCATGACTTTTTCCTATTATAAATAATTTTGAATTCGTAGTTTACAAGATAATTTGTGGAATAAATGACAACATGTGCATATATGTATAAGCAAAATATTGAGCGTGTCTGACAATCTTTCATTCTCAGAAAGCTATGTTTATGACATAAAATATATTTATGTGAAAATATATCTGATTTTGACATGTATGAAATATTATCTGTTAACATCGTTAGATTTTTGACACTTCTGTTTGTTTCATGATTATGATTTTGATGAAATTCATCTTGCTCTCTCGAGGGGTACACATATACGTCGTTAAACTATTAGTTACGTAAAACCATGTTGATTCTTTTTATTTACTGTGAATTAGAATCTATAATAATTATAATACAAAAATCGAAATATGTGTAAAGAAAAATAAAAAAGTTTTTTTTTCCGTTTTATATGGTTTCATGAACTAATTATGATAACAATATAGTTCTATTTCAATACGAAGTTACAATAGTCGAATATCATCTGATGAGTTTTATTGAGCGATTTGAACTATGGTTCCAATTGAGTGAATATGTCGTATAATGATACAGGTGATTAATATATGACATACCATGTCAGAATGCGTTTTCCATCGTAGAAAAAGTTGAGACACTTTAAAATAATAGTTCTTAGATGCAATAAGCAGCATAAAAGAACCATGTATATATTCGTAAAAGTTTTGATAAAACAACGCATTTACATATGTTTTTGATTACTGTCATCTTTAGATATTAAAAAACAAAAATGCTATAATTTGAATGATGACAAATAGATTTTCTTTCAAGTCATTGAAATGTGTTATAATGCAAAAAGATGGTTATATGGAAACAGAAAATTAATTGAATTTTATCAAATTGTCTTCATAAGATTGAAGAATATATTTCAATAAACACAAATTTTATCATCTCATTTATCAATATAATATTAAGTGACGAATGTATACAATTGATCGAAAAATCTTTCCTTAAACAAATGATTAATCATATAAAATTTAATAAAAACTTCAATCATCTAAACATTTTTCGATTAATTTTCTTGTCAATTATACATAGAAAGATAAATGCCTAACTTTATTATACAAAATGTTCTTTTGCAATGTCTTTTTTATTTTCGCCTTCACATATTCTTTGAGAAGGATTAATTAGTTATGTAAGAATAGAACAAAAAGAACGAGAGATAAATTATCAAAACATAGTAAAAAAAAAAGGCTATTAAATTATTCAAAATAATATGATCAAACTATTTCTGTAAGATTGAACATTTTTGAGATATCTTATAAAGATTTATCAAAATTTAATTAAATTAATTTACTAAAAGATCTTTTCAATCGTTATATATAAAATATTCTTTTTAAAATGATAAACGAATTAGAAATTGAGGTCTCAATATGAAAGGAGCAGGGTTGGATTACTTCGTTCTCGCGTATTTTTCACATGGTGTCTGTAAAAAGTGAGTTGTTGTTAAAAAACTGTGTGCCACATTTATTAAGAAGACAACTTTTTTTTTTAGTCAGTTTCTGATAGACAGCCTACTTCCGACTATCTGTCAAATTTTTAACTCCTTGCACTTCTAAAACTACTGAGAGCTTCAATCGGAAAACTTGTCTTATAAAATGGTGAACATAAAAAAAAATAATTGTTGAATTACAAAAAAAAAATAGAAATAATCGTCATGTTTTTTCGAACTAACGATATTTATCAAAAGAGGAACAAATTAAATATGAAGAAAAATGAAAATAAATCACGTCAAGATTAACAATGACTAAAAAACTGTAACCATATGATCGATTATTATCAATTATATGTTCATCTTATTTTATTTATGCCATACAATAAATAGGGCGAAACTCTTTTATTTACTTTTATCTTTATTACTGTTCTGAAAAAAATATTATTAAACTCATACTTCTTTTTTCTATTTAAAGTCTTTAAAAACATTTAAATAGATACCTTTTACGTTATGCATTCTAGAAATATATCAGAAGGAGTTATTTATATCATTTATTTTTTTATATTCTATGCAACGATCAAGTCGGGGACTGCTTTCATATAATACATAATCAGCGATGCAAAACTCTTTGAAAAAAAATGTGAAGCTCTCTTATATCCAACTATCAACTTAAACGAAGCTAAAATGGAGAAAAAAGTCAAACAACAAACAAATTTTAGAAGAGTTCTTACAATGTCTTTTCAACTTAAAAAGTTTCGATTTCTCAATTACCTTGAGCTACATAGACGAATTTTTAATAAAAAAATTTACCAAAATGTAGCGTATCAAAACTTCAATCGATGTCAGTTTTGGTAAAATTTTTTTAGATCTGTTGTTGACGTTTTAATCAAAAAAGGTAAAAATTGAAATTTTTTTGTAAAAACAGATTTGTTCAAATTCAATCAGTTTTGAAGAACGTCAGTCACAATCTTCAGAAGCTATGTGTGAACTGAATTATTTTTGTGTTATTTGTTCGAAATATGTCAAATCATAGAAACTCAGTAGAAAAAAGACATTTCAAAAAATATTTTTTATTGTTACAACACAGTCAGGTAGTAAAAACGACTAAATTAAATAGCCTCTTTCAGAAATTGTTATATGTATATTATTAAAGAAACCAGGAGCAAATTTAACTTCCAATATACGATTAGAAAGAGCACTCGTTACGTTATAAAAATCATCATTGAACATGTTTTTACAATTCACTTGTAAAAAACAAAAAATTTAATGAAAAATAGAAAACGATGTAGCGTGATGATGGAGTTGCAAGAGCTTTTTTAAGAGATATTTGGTTTTTGATATTTCCTCCTTGTTTAATTCATTCTGGAAAAATGTATCTAGCACAAAATTTGCATATGAGGAAATTACTAGTTCTAACAAAAAGAAGTTTCATTAGTTTTTAAGTTGGCAATATGGTTTGACAGAGTGTAACATTTTTTCAAATACTTTTGTCTCGTTTATTATGAACGTACATTAGATCCTAAGAAGTATTTTTAGCTTATGATAACGTATGATGTAACATAAGCATTTGTGAATTCAGTTGAGAATATAATTGTTTTTTGATGTAGAAAATCTTTTAATCCTAGACATCACACTTTATGGAACATTAACTATACTAAACTTTATTTACAATGAAATGTGTTTTATTATTTATAGTTGTAGAGCAGATTTTTGCATCTGTTTTCACTTAATCATTATTTCAAATTTTAAATAATGATTCACTTAAACAACTTTTTATGTTCGGATTCATGCATCTCGTGATACCGAACTATGCGTGATTGAGCCCATTTGTTTGAATTTTACTGGATGAGCACATGTGAATAAGCCTATTGTTGTTGAAAATAGATTTTGTCTTGAAATGAGTTAATACATGATTAACTAACCATAACTTTTTTTTTATTGACAAATTACAATATTTGCTCTTAGTGTACCTGATTGTTCTTGTTTTTTTTTAAATAAAAATTCTTATTAATAGAATTTAAAAAGAATAAATATATGAATTTATACTTTTCGTTGTGCTCTTTGCTAAATCTAATGAAAAACATCCAATATCTATGTCATTTCTAGGCTCCATAAGAATGAAAAGAGAATTAATGAAAAATTTTTGTTTCATTGATTACTTTTCTAATAGCCATATTGTATTTCAATCTATGTCGTCATTTCTTTTCAGTTTTAAGACTTTTTAATTAATGTTTTTCTTTCATAAGAAGATTCATTAATAATATTTATATTGACCTTTTTTTTTGTTAATCAGATAAAAATATGATCTGCCATGATTTTAATTTAAAAAAGAATATCTATTTTTCTTTTTGAATCACATTTATCCTATATAAAAGATATTCTAAATCCGATATTATTTATTCTATGTTAATTTTATTATTGTAAAATAAAAATTGAAAGCAAGGCTTTCATATGGTCCAATGATTTATTTGATAGCAATTATTCATTATAAAAACTTTTTCTTTGTCTTCCTTTTATCTTATCCACGCAGAAGAAATCTCACGTCTGTTTTCTTCTCGCTTTCTCTCTCACTCTCTCTCATTTTGTACGTCTATTTTATATCTGCTAAACATGAATATTTTTTCATTTCTCGATTCTTTATTTCACAAGTGGAACACTGCGCTTTTCTCATGTGACGAGATAATTACCTACAAAAGAAATATTATTTTAAACTGCACACACTACCCCATATATTAATATTTTTGTGATTTTTTTTATGAATTCTAGACAACTGAAATATTTGTACAAGCTATTGTAATTAATTAATTAAATTTTTTTTTTGGAAACAATGTTAAAACAATTCCTTTTGTTCCTCTCGCTCATTCAACTGATGCAATGCCTTTCTTTACGAAGTAACAGTAAGTTCTCGTTTTTTTTGTTTTTGGTATTGAAAATGATACTATCAAGGGAATCTTTGTCAATATTACTTTGAGTTTGTTATTAATATCATTATCTTAATATAATGTGTAACATGCAAAATGGTGTTTTTATTTTTTAATATCTAGTTTGGTGGAGTCGACGTAATGAAAATTCATCACAAGATTGTGATATCGCTCTTGACTATGAAAATCCATCGCTAGAAGCAAAAATTTGTGGTAAAATCTATTATTGATTATAAATTGTTTTTGATAGATTAATGCTGTTCAAAATATTCTTTTAGGCTATTGTTTTGCTTCATGTCAACAACAGTTTGCTACTTGTCTTTTAGCACACATAGATAAAGATTCAAATGGTTCCATTCAATATTGCCAAGAAAAATGTGACAAATGTGAACAAAGATGTATTACTGACAAACGAACGAGTCGAATAGCTGCAGCAAATTGGGCTAAAGTTGTCAAAGTATTGCAACAATTCAATACTTTTTCACCAATTAAACAAGAGCAAACACCATCAATAGAAAAATAATTTCAGACTATTATATTTCGGTAACTTTTATTGATCGTGTGTAAAATTTTCTTTATTTCATGCATAAAATAATAAAGAAAACATGCACAAAAAAAAAACAACCCAGCATAAAAGAATTATCTAGCTTGAATAAGATAAAATAATAATGCAAAGTATCGTCCTTTTTAACTAACTATAAGTATATGTATATGTATACATATGTATCAAAACAAAAACAAGAGCACAGCAAACAATAAGGACGGATTAAAAGGAGAATAAAAAAAAGATGTAATCATTCTATATTGATATCATCATGTCATTTATGGTTGAACTAGAATTCTAGCATAAGTTTTTTCTATTGCAACTTTCATAGCATTTGGTAAGTCTGATAAATCATATGTAGGTCCCATGATTTGTTCATACGGATATTTTTCAATTGTTTTTATAAGAAAATCAACAGCTTGATCAAGATGACGTGGAGCATAATTATGAATACCTTTAGAAATAGTAAAAATAAGAGGCTTAATTTTTAATTAGATTTCTTTTCTTTACCTTTTATCGTAAGACATTTACGAATAATCTGTTCACCAGTTATATGTAGCTCTGAATGTGGATGAACCATACCAAGAAAAAGATATAATCCACCTGGCTTCAATAATTTGATACCATCATTAATAACATTTGATACTCCACAAACCTATTATGACATATCTTTTTCTTTTTACACTTTCCTTTTGAAAGAAAAATAACACTTACTTCAACAACAACATCAATTTTATTTGCCTCTTCAATGAGTATTTCATCTAGGAAAAAAAATTACTGTATTAAAAATAACATAAAAATAACAAATCTTATCAAATTTACTCTTTTTACAAATTGCATAGCAAACAGCTACAACATAATAGACGTGACTAATGCATGCGTAATCAATGTAAATCTCTTTCAGTGATTGAATTGATAAGCTTTTCTTCGAGCAAGAAACTAATATATATATATGTATATATATAGATATAGATATGAGTGCAACAACAAGCAGAAGACAAGAAAATCAAGCAAAAATAGTAATGCATATATGGTAATATGTTTTTCTTTGTATCATACTTTGCCTGTCTAAAAGAATAGAAAAATTAAAAATTATAGTAATATTTTTATACGTGAACTTTTATTAAGTGTTATCCTCGAAGCGAATTTTTTTTAAACAGAAACATTCAAGACACATGAAATGGTTAGAATATTTTGAGATTGTAGTAGAAAGGTTATGATACAATTTTTTAGCTCGATAGCATGAAATTTTCGTGATACATTCATTGAACAAAGTTTAAAATAGCTACTTTAGTAACCTAAAAGTCCCTATGAGATTTCATTCTTGGTATTATTTTTTTTTCTTCTATTTTAGTGAGCATGTCAGACTTCAGGGCCTGATAGAGTTCTTTTTTTTTAGTTTCTTAATTTTTTGTTGAGGGAAAAAGATGACAACTTTCGTACCGCAAAATAAGCTTAAAAAATTGACATTTTTTGAAATTTGTTTTTCCGGTATTAGATTTGTGATCTTTTTTCCTCAACAAAAAAAGTAAGAATGATAACATGAAGAATTTTCTCACACCCTATGGCTTGATATGCTCATTCAATTAAAAGAAAGATGAAATATATAGTACCGAGACCCACAGAGAATTTCACGTTGCCAAATGAACTATTATTGACTTTTGTTTGATGAATATCTCATGAAAACATTATAGCATCGACCTGAAAATTTTCATGTGATTTGAATATTCCTAATCTAGAGGCCATTTCGAGAAAACTTAAGTAAGATTCATTAAAATATGTTTTACCATTATAAATTGGTATTGCACCAAAACGAGTTATTAATTCTGACCGTTGACTATGTCTACCTGAGCAATAGACTGTGTCATATCCAAGTTCGCGAAGAGCTACTGAAGTATATAAACCAAGAATTCCATCACCCTATGAAACAATATTTAAAAAACGATCAATTATCAAAGCAAAAAATCTTCTGCAAATAATAATGGATGTAGGTTAAGAAAACGGCTAGAATAAGTCTTTATTTTATGAATTGTATGGTTCGATTTTTTTAATATTTTTACAAAACTTAAATATCAAAATAATCCAATAGATTTAATTGGTTTCTAATAAATCGAATTTTTGTTAAACAAAATCTAACAAGAGTGTTCAAGTATACGGATAGAAATCTGAGTCTCCATAGACAACTTAACAATGCTTTTCTTCCATCAGAATCTGAGATAGTCTCAGCTATGGAACTAGTCTTCATAGGGATTATCATGAAAGAAGATTGAATTAAAGATATTAGTTTTTTGTTCTCTTTCGAAACTCATAATGACCTATGATAAATACACCCCTGGGCAAAAGTCTTTCCCCCCCCCCCCCCCCCACCTCTTTTTTTGGCAAGGTTTTTTCTGCTATTATAAGGACAAAACATGGTGCTGTTCGGGCTATATAAAAGAGGACCCTAATAACCCCTAATCGGCCCGAACAACACCATGTTTTGTCCTTATAATAGTAGAAAAAGCCTCGCTGAAAAAAGAGGTGGGGGGAAAGACTTTTGCCCAGGGGTGTATCATCTTTCATCAAGGATATTTCATCACACTATAGATCATGAACTGAAACATGTTACAGAATTTCTTGATTTACAACATATGCAAATACACCGTTTTCCACATTTTAATTCTATATGGATTGCGCTAATGGCTTGTGATACATGATAAAAAAAACCTTGATGAGTAAAACGTTTTTTCTTTGATAATGAAACTTTCGATCATTGACGACAAAAGTTTCAGCGAAACGACTGAAAGAAATTGTTTAGATATGCAAGTTTAGATATCCTTATCAAAATAATCCAACAGTATTGATTATATTGCTTATACTTTTGTTTTTTCTTTAATCTAACTATATTACATTTTATAAAAAGTACAAGAAACAGAGTTCCATGATTGATTTATTTCATTGATGGTTAGTCAGAAATCATATTTAGATTTGAATTATCGTTCGAAGTGAACCATTAGGTTTGTCTAATAAAACTTGAGTGTTAAAAGAAACATTTCTTTAAACTGATCAAAAAAAAATACTCTACTAAATTGATCTGAAAAATCTGTTGAACTGTACCGACTTGATAAATTCTCAATTTCTTACAACTCTGAATTGAAACAATTAGAAGTTTATGATGATCACTCTTGAGACACATAAAACTCCGTAAGAAGGAAAAGAGACATACTTCTATGCTTTTACATATGCCCACCTGCTCCTATACAATTTTGCACATGTCTTTTGCTACAGAGATAATAATTAGATATGGATCAACTTCAGCTCATAAGATCAGGTCAAATGAGCTAATGAACTCTTGAAACATTCTTTTTGAAAGAAAATGATTTGTGTGAGCAATTCTTTTGATAGAAACTGAGCCGTTTGAAATATTATAGTTCTGTTTAGGGAATAAAAAAAATTTAAGATAGCACATTTCCTTATATCGAACTCATTAGCGAACTGCCATATCTCTAATAATAAGACTTTTACAATCAATCTTTTTCTGAAACACAATCTAAATTATGAGTGTTGAAGTATACAAGGTTGACATTTGTACTCCTACAGATCATGACAAGCGTTTTTGTTTTTGGGACCAAAACCCGTATATCCGTAGTCGCTCGTTATAATATATAAACTATGTTTTTATTGCATTTCTGGAAGTAGCAGCGTAATCAGGAGATTGTGGATGGTAGAGCAATGCCATACAACCTTTGTGGTAATTCATGCAAGATAATATCAATGATGCTAATTATGACGTTGTTTCTTTGTTCCTGGTTATAGAGCGGATCCTGACCTAGCCCACCCTTGGCTATGCCACAATCTGAAGGGCTAAGTAATAGGATGGTAAAAACGGGTCGCAAAATAGATAGAACAAAATAATCTTCTTATGATAAATAGGAGCAACTACGTCGTGTTTTTCACTTTAATTCCACATGAATTACGCTAACAACTTTCTTTAAAATATACATCATTTTCATTATGAAAATCTAATAAAGAAATAATATAAATAAAACTCATAAGAGAAGACAAAGTACTTAACCTCTTTTTACCACTGTTTGTTTTGCAGTGAGATACTCGAAAAAAAAATAAATAACGTCAATTTATGTATTTGGAGTAGTGTAACAAATAGAAAAGAAAAGATAACATCCGAAAACAGAGAACTAGTACTATTATTTCTAAATATTTCAGGCGTATCGAAGTAATGCCTTTTCCTCGGGAAATTCTGCCACCAGAAAAAGAATAATCTGTTTTCCATCTACTTTATAGCAAATATTTTTTCTACAAAGATCTATTTATAGTGAATATTCAATTTTAATGTTTATTAATTAATTCTTTGAACTGCAACTAAACATTTATTCTCAATCTCAAAGATCATCGTATACCTATCTTTTATTTACAAACAAAAAAAAATCTATATACCTGAACAAAAGCTCGTCCATTTTTAATCTTTGGTACAAATTCCATAGCACACATTGTTGTACCTAATGAACAATTAATTGGTGCTGCACATCGATCAGATATAATATCAGGTATTTTTACAACATGAGTACCACTACGAATTATAATATGTGAAGCATAAGAACCATTAAAGCCTGAACCATCACTTAATTTTGCATGACCATACTATATTAAATAAAAAAAATGAATCAAATTTAAAATTAATATGAAAAGAAAAAGAACAATTGATTATAAACATACTTTAAATAATTTAGTACATTTTTGTTGAAGTCCTTTTAAACAAAATTCACATTTATCACAAGAATCAGCAATGGAAAATGTTAAACGATCGCCTTTCATTAAATCACTTTCAGGTCGACGATGCTCTATAACTTCAACAACAGCTTCATGACCAAGAACACTTAAAAATAAAGAAAACATTTGTTATAAATAATTAATCTACTTTGCTTTTTTTTTTTAAACTCATAAATTACCTAGGTGTTGGTTCTATACGTTGACCTTTAACTGTATGTACATCACTTACACAAATCGATGCCAAACGAACCTTTACATAACGATAAATAAATAGAAAAAATAAATAAATAAAATCTTGTATCTAAGTAAATATTGAATTACTTTAACAAGTATTTCTCCAGGTGCAAGTTCCGGTAATGGAACTGTTTCTGACGAAAACATTACTTCTGAATTCAATCCATTAAAAACAATACGTTCACCTAACATCTGACTTTTATCTTGATCACAACACGTCATTTTTCTTTTGAATTTAATGTTCGATCGATTAGAATATTTTCTAGTTATTAATCAGTAAACTAAACGTATTACATGATCAAACGATAGAGGTCATTATTTAAAGTATTTTATATATCAATGGTTTAGTTATGAACGAATCGAATAAGGATATTAGATTATTTGGTTGATATCCTTCAATCATTCATATCGGCATTGGTTATGCTGATATATATATGAATAAAATGAGCTATTTAAAAATTTATTTTCCAAATGGTTCTTTTCATACTTTACGATATACACCATCGACCACTATTGCTGTATGAAAATATATCAAAGAATGATTAGATTTTGTTTTTGTTTAATTTTTGTTTTCTAGGATTTAATTCGAATAGTTTTAAAAGGTCGTCTTGCATCTTATGATTTTGTTTATTCTTTATCATTTGCTCTTCGTGTAACATATGTTGGACAAGAACAACAAATAGTTTTGTCATCATTAAATAAAAATGATATTGTGAATAAATGGCTTCATTCAAGTATGACTATGGAAAAAGTAAAAGTGTTTTATGGAAATGCTGATGAGTTAAAGTAAATCAATGAAGTACTTAGGTTATATTCAAATTAGTAACAACAACATTATAATATGTTATAGAAGGCTTGAAGATATTTCTTCTATATATATATATATGTTGATAGTTCAACCAGTGTTCGAGAAATCTATAATATTTCACTGTTCATTGAGTTTATATTCTAATATTAGAAATTCGATCAAAGCTATTCACCTCTAATTAGAGTTCTGTAAAGTCAAATTTTTTGACTCCAAGGAATTCCGGAAGTTTTTTTTTCACTAGCAGATATACTTTTTCTTATGTCATTTGCTAATGAGAATGCCTCTCATGACTTTTTATTCTTGAAACGTATTTATGAGTCAATGAAGTAGTGCATTTTTTTTTTCATTACTTAACATATGAAGAACAAAGTCATTATTATATAAGGCTAAAAATATCTGATGTGACTCAGAAAAAAAATTCTTCATGGTCATTTCTACTTTAAGCCAGAATCGGAGTCCAATGCAGGACTCTACCTCTCCTTGAAGTCGATAAGGAAAAATTTTTATGCTACATTAAAACTCGTACTCATATATATATATATTCAAGCAAGAGTTAGTTATGATGAACTATATTTTGCTTTCAGTGACCCCAGGTATCACCTCTCATGACAGTTGAAAGATAATTATTCATGGTTTCATGAAACACAAGAAGAGATGAAAGATGAAGAGTGATCTATCAAATCATTCATGATCATCTTCAAAGTCAGTCAATTTGATGTACAACAAGCGGTTATCGATTGAAGTTTACAATGGTCGGAGATTATTCATTTGAGTGATGCCACAACTTAAATCCGTTTCCATCTATAATATAAGGATAATCATGAATAAGGCAACTCATATGATTTGAACCGAACAAAAGCCGTCGGTATACTAGCAATCAACTGACGGTAGTTTGATTCTTAAACGATTGGCTGTCCTATGGTCACAGAATTCTATCACAGTAGTCCGAACAAACGTTGCACGGAAGTGAAAACTTCTCTTACTCATTTGAATCAGAGATTAACAGTTTCGATCGAACTTGAAGAATAGTGAAATATTATAGAATTCTAAAGCACTGTTTGGACTCTTTGCATCGAGATATAATTGTTATAATGTTGCTATTTCTATGTTTGATATACTCAGTAGTTATTTACATATTTGATAAAATTAACTAATTTAGATTTGAACTTCGTCTTCGATATTTTCCACCATCGATTGATGAATTAGCACATGATAAATCTACGTTTGGATTTTTGTATGAACAAGTATATTGATTAATTTTTTCACTCTAGTATTTTATATTTAAATAATTTAGCTTCGTATTGATTATATGCGTATAAAATCTGATTGTGTATCAACAAATGAAGCTATTGAATTAGGTTCACTTGAAATACGTAAACTTTTTAAAGATCTTAATTCAACAACATTAGATAAAAAAGTTAATATGGATTATCTTGAAAAAGAACTTGGTTTAAAAACATTTTTTCCACAAGCAATTATTGATTCATATAAAGTTTGTTATTTTATTTTCAAAGAATATATTTTATATAGATTTATTCATTAGCCTCGAAATCTTCGAAAATATATTAAAGTATGTTTAAAAAAATATGAAGGTTTATCTGAAGAAGAATGTGCTAAACGGTTTTGTTTGTTACTTAAAAATATTTGGAATTGGGAACAAGAAATATTTACATGTAATCTTGGTGTAAGTAAACACCCAGTTTTTATCTCTCAAAACCGCGGGTTTTTTTTTGGAGTACTCGAAAAACAAAAATCTATAATAGAATGCTTTGGGTGTGGCGATCAAAATTTTATTTACAGGCATACATTCAAGTAAACATGAAAAGAATACAAATAAAATAAGCATTGAGAAAAAATTATATTTGTATTTAAGTTTTTATTAGATACAACAAACATTAATCATATGCTCTATAGCATTAAAGCAATTGTTGGTTTGAAATGGATTTAAATAAAACAATTTGCTATGATATAGTTTAGTAACAGTAATAGAGTTAAATTCGATTGAAAAAGTATAATCAACGCATTCTAACAACATTCTAAAGTTTTCTATTCCTTTCTACTGCACAGACCAAAGGTACAAAAATATTATTCTATATCCAACTGTAGAAAAGATTCGCCCGAAGTTGTTCCAAATCACAAATACACAAATCGAAATTCTAAATAGAAAAACTGTTAGTGCAATCTCTACGCGATTCAAAATGCGAAGCACGAGAAAGCTGTCATTTATATTCCCAAGGAGAACATTGTCAATGAACCCGTCATGGTCCTTGATCAGTTAACAAAATGTCTGTCACGATGTATGATTAATTATCAAGATGTCCTTCAATGTCTATGATAGATTGATAAAGTATCCGTCATAGCCTGCAAGGGATTGGATCCAAATTTCTAACTCTATACTTTAATGCTCCTTTTAATTAGATCATGTTTGACAAAAATAACTAAGCTTCTCGATATGAACGAATACACAGCAAATGAATATAAAGAAAATTATAGTTACTTTCCAATATAGAAATTCGTATTTTATTATTATTTTTTGATCTAGGCTGAATGGTCAGTACCAATTCGTTTGGTTCTTGGTCCATCAGAGGGTATCAGTTATCGAACACAGAATTCCACGGAAGTAAGTTTATGTATATTATTATCTTTAAATTCTTTATATCCTAAAAATAGTTAACTAAAATGACTACATTTGAAAATGTTTTATCAATATCAACAACAAAAGTTAATTCAGATGATCGTGGTCTTCTAAAACTGATCATAGCTGGATCGTCTGAGGTTAGAATCTTCTTTTAATCTTTGCTATGAAACAAACAATATTATTGTTTAGACTTTAACATTTAGTTTTCCATCTTTTTCTGAAACTAATGATGTAGCTATTTTGCTTGATGGTTATTGTATGCTTGCCAATCGAAGTACACATTCTCTTTGGCGATCAATTATTGATGAACATAATTCCTTAATAAGAAAAGCAACATCACCATCAAATCATTCCGTATCATATTCTTCAGATTATATGTATAGCCATCATCAAAGTAAAAGACATACATTTCTAAAGTTATTAATAATTAATGTCATTTTCTTGTAGCTGATGATGATGATGATGATTTGAGTGGCGATTATGCTGATGTATTATCTTCTGACTATCAAATCGATCGTCAACAAATTCAAGTGATTGAATTACTTGGTGATGGTCAATTTGGTGAAGTCTATCAAGGAATACTTAAAGTAAAAATTCATTATTTATTTTGTTAATTATAATTTGAGTTTTTTTTGTTTTTTCTTATCTTAGACTGATCAACAATCAGAAATCAATGTTGCAATAAAAACATGTAAAATGCAAGATGCAACAACAACAGAAACATTTTTAGATGAAGCATGTAAGAAATTTCTTTTTTGAATTACTGCATTATAAAAGATGTTACAAAAGTAGTTCAGTAGTCTTTATTTTACGAATAAGTTCCGAGAGAAATAAATTAAAGAGCTACAGGTTTCACCATTCAAAAGGGATCGTGTCATTACGCACTATTTCATGTATAATTCAACAATATTGGTTGATGATAATCGATTCGTCATTCGATGGTCTTAAAAAAAATACCGATAACTCTAGGAAAATGACACATGAGTTTAATTCTAAACTTATGGTCTCTGTCAAAAAAGAAATCTAGTTTTGAGAGTGGTACTATATTGTCCATAACATCAAGGCGTGTTTTCTCGAATAAAACTTCTATAGCAACTTCATAGAATTATCATTATTTTTCTGAAATATATTTTGATTGAAAATTTGACTATCTCAATAGACGTTATTGAATCATTCATAGAACAACGAAATTGCACAGTCTCTTTCGAACGGTGAAAACTACAGTTGTCTATTTTGTTCTTATCAAAATTTACTCGTATTCAAAGACTACCGGATGATTTTTGGATCATTCTGTATTAATTTTAATTCATTTATTTTTTACAGATGTTATGCAAACATTTGCTCATCCACATATCATTAAATTAATTGGAGTTTGTACTGAAAAACCTGTTTTACTTATTATGGAATTAGCACGATTAGGCGAGGTTGTTCGAAGAAAATTTTTATTATATATAAATATAACCTAATTAATATATTTATTTATTTTTTTCTTTTAGTTACGTGCTTATTTAGTTGCTAATCGAAATGATTTTGATTTATTAACATTGGTGCTCTATTGTGTACAATTATCTTCAGCATTAGCTTATCTTGAATCAAAAAAATTTGTTCATCGGTAGAAAAATTTCAAAAAAATAATCGAAAAAAAGAAAACAATTTTATTTAATAGTGATATTGCTGCAAGAAATGTTCTTGTATCAAACCATGAATTAGTAAAATTAGCTGATTTTGGTCTTTCAAGACAATTAA